TGGATTTATAGATAGAGCTAGTACATACAGTGCCTAAAGCCACTATTACGCAAAGCGTTTCGGGCATGAAAAACATTAATGATTAAAGCTTAATACTAATTGAATATAAAGAATAAAATGTGTTGAGAACAAATAAAAATAGAGATAAAAAATCGCTGGCTTCAACTTGCGATTGATGCCATGTCGTCTTGGGCCACCGATCATGGCTTCAGGTTCTCTACGTCTAAGACTTGCGCTATGACGTTTTACTCGGAAGCGTGTCGTTCTTCATCCTTCTTTGTCGCTTTATGGTCACCCCATTGTTTACAAGGAATGTACAAAAGCTAATACATTGTGTATAAGCTTTTGTGGTTGATTTTTGACACTCGTTTGTCTTGGTCGCCCCATATCTCTTACCTCCGTGTTGAATGTTCTAAGGCCCTTACCCTCCTTCGGGTATTGTCCCATACTTCTTGGGGAGCGGATATGCACACTCTACTCGCTTTACATTCCTCTATCGTCCTGTCTAAGCTCAATTATGGTTACCCTGCTTACTCGTCTGCTTCTCCTTCTACTCTTCGCCGTCTTGATGCTTTGCACCATACTGGGTTGCGCCTCAGTTCTGGTGCCTTTCGTTCGACTCCCGTCCTCAGCTTGTATGTTGACACTGGCTTTCCTATCTCTCCAGGACCGCCGTGATCGCTGTTGTCTTCGCTATCTTTCACGGTCCTTGCGGCGTCCTTCCTCTCGCTTCTGTCGTGCTTTAACTTTTGCCTCTCCTGTGGTCCCTGTTCCTCTTCACCACCTCCCTCTTTCTGTCCGGTTGTTTTGCTTACAGGATTCTCTTTCAGTTCGTATTTCTAATATTTCTCCTCGTGTTGTTTCTTCTTTGCCCTTGTGGAGAGTCCCCCTTCTGCAGTTTTGTACATCCTTAACCCGCATCACTAAAGCTTTTACCCCTCCTACGGTTCTGGAACGCCTTTTCATTGAACACTTTTCTTCTCACTCCCGCTCCGTTTCCGGTCCCGCCTCTCAACCGTCAATCAACTGGTGTACAGATTCTTGAGCCTACTGGGCTCTATCATATCTACATTTGAAACTGTGTATGGAGTCAGCCTCCACCACATCACTTCCTAGTGCATTCCATTTACTAACTACTCTGACACTGAAAAAGTTCTTTCTAACGTCTCTGTGGCTCATTTGGGTACTCAGTTTTCACCTGTGTCCTCTTGTTCGCGTCCCTCCAGTGTTGAATAGTTCATCCTTGTTTACCCGGTCGATTCCCCTGAGGATTTTGTAGGTTGTGATCATGTCCCCCCTTACTCTTCTGTCTTCCAGTGTCGTAAGGTGCATTTCCCGCAGCCTTTCCTCATAACTCATGCCTCTTAGTTCTGGGACTAGTCTAGTAGCATACCTTTGGACTTTTTCCAGCTTCGTCTTGTGCTTGACAAGGTACGGGCTCCATGTTGCGGCCGCATACTCCAGGATTGGTCTTACATATGTGATGTACAAGATTCTGAATGATTCCTTACACAGGTTCCTGAACGCCGTTCTGATGTTAGCCAGCCTCGCATATGCCGCAGACGTTATTCTCTTTATGTGGGCTTCAGGAGACAGGTTTGGTGTGATATCAACTCCTAGATCTTTCTCTCTGTCTGTTTCATTAAGTACTTCATCTCCTATTCTGTATCCTGTGTCTGGCCTCCTGTTTCCACTGCCTAGTTTCATTACTTTGCATTTACTCGGGTTGAAGTTCAACAGCCATTTGTTGGACCATGTGTGTGTGTGTGTGTGTGTGTGTGTGTGTGTGTGTGTGTGTGTGTGTGTGTGTGTGTGTGTGTGTGTGTGTTTGGACACACGGAAAATACACATACAGACTGTATTAGAACTAGGACCGCAGGGGCCGTCCTAGAGAGTTTTATACTCCATACTGGAGGGGTTGTGTTGATTACATTTCTAGGTGAATTGTGTCATGTTCCCATGTTCTCTTATGTAGTCTTTTGCAGGAAAGGAGGTCTAGAGCCATTCGTCATCATTGTATGGTAGTGACTGTTATGTAACGCCGGAAGATTTCCTGCCATAGGATATTGTGGTGTGATACAAGTGTGTTTTTATACAAATGTTGTGTGTTCCAAGGCTGTGATAAAGGTAATTATATATATACGTGGCTGACCTGTTTAACGTAATTTGGTGGATTTATAGTGAAGAGTGAGTATCGTCGCGGGCGTGTGTGACAGCTCTGTAGAGGAACGTAATTCATGTGAGTAATTATTGATCCATGTGATTGCTAATTACTTGCCCAAGTTGATCAGGAGAAGTGTGTAATCTCTTTAGTGTTCAGGTGAGGTCAGCGAGTAAGATATATATTTATAGTGCCACGTAGCTTAGTGTGTTATTACTGTGTTGTGTTATCAGTAATTTACATTGTAACCAAGTTGCAAATTGTTGGGCCGTGTTCTAATTAAGTGTTATTAGATCACCTTGTGTGTTATTGCTGTAGCTCAGTAAATTGCTTGGGCCATATTCTAATGGTTAAGATCACTGTCAGTGTTATTACTGGTGTTCTGCAGTAATTGTGAATTGCAAACGGGTTGTAATTGTTTTAGATCATCGAGTGTTGATTTATTGTGTCGTGGGTGAACTCGTCATTAGGACAAGTACTTGGTCTTATTCTGTATATTGGGTAGTCATCGAAGTCCAGTTTTCAATGAGGGTTAATTAGTCAAGGCAAATTAACGTAACGTAACCAAGGGAACACCCATTGCTTGTAGAGGAATTGTTCATAAGTCAATTTCAGTTATCGTAAGATACGTTTGGGTTAATTATTTTTCCAAGGAACCGCTGATTTGGTCGTTCAAGGGATCGGCGCCACAGCAGCCACTTCAGGGGAAGTCAGTGTGGCAGGGATTCTGGGAGGCTGAAAGCTTGCATTTAAGTACTGTCTGTTGAAAATTATCTGTCAGTTAGACATGTAATTAAAGGTTCACGGAAGTGAACTCCGAAATTAACTCCGATCAGGGTTTGATCGACTGACACGAAGGCTACATTGTAACACTAATATAACGTCTGTTATTAAGTATCTGTCAGTTGGACAGGTAATTTGATTAACTCTTGGGAACGTAAAGTCATTACTAAGAGAACAACACTGATACCCCGACACGTACCAGACCCATAAGAAAAACAAAAGGCCACACATAACAACACATATATGTAGTAACAGATAACAGAACACAGAACAGTACTTAAAATAAAGAACATAAATAACATAAAACACACCCACAACCAAATACACAAAACAGAAGCATATAGAGGACCACTCACACAAAGTCAACCACACCTCACACACACAGGAACAAAGGAGTACAGAACAAAACCACACATGCTACATAGGTTGCATCCCTGGAAACACAAACCGAAACTGTCTCTATTTTCCGCTTGTTACAACTTGTAATAAAGTTGTTACATCTTGGCTTAACGTGTTTATGACGTATTAGAACATTGTTACAACTTGCTATATTGGTTGTTATAACTGGTTAGGAGGTGTTAAAACTTGCTCGAACGTTGTACCAACGTCGTAGTTTCGGTGTGTGTTTGGTGGGATGTGTGCTACCATGAATATACACATAGACAAAAGCATAGAAAAATATGTACAGGCACAGGAAACACACACACGCCAACATCAAGAGAAATGCATACAGAACCACCTACACCACTAACACACAACACGCAACAACCAAACACCCGAACACAGGGAGTACAGGCTAAGGTAGACCAAAGGCAAAAAAACACAAAAAAAACACAGGGCCGCCCAGGAGCCACAAAAAAAAACACCCACACGCACACAGACACAACCCACGCACCCCCCGCCAAAAGGGGCTTGCTGGCCGAGTGGACAACGCTCTAGATTCGTGGACCTAGGGACCAGGGTTCGATCCCGATAGCCGGCGGAAAAGCAAATGGGCAGACTTTTCTTCACCCTGATGCACCTGTTACCTAGCAGTAAATAGGTACCAGGGAGTTAGACAGCTGCTACGGGCTGCTTCCTAGAGGTGTGTGAATGTGTGAAAAAAAGTTAGTAGTTAGTAACAGTTGATTGATTGACAGTTGAGAAGCCGGCCGAAAGAGCAGAACTCATCCCCCGCAAGCACAACTAAGTGAATACAAACGGCACCCGAAACTCACAACACACGCACAGGAGCAGCACTACCACAAGGAAGACATGCACAACCCACGCAACCCTGCCAAAGAGGCTCAAAGGAAAGGGAAGGGAACACAAAGCGAAACGAACCCCTCTAAACCACTCCAACCCCCCAACACACACCGACACCTCCAACCCCACCCAAGATCAAGCACCGTCACCCAACCACCGACGCACCTACCGACCAAAAAGCAACCCCATGAACATAGGCATCCATGAACCACTGACCAAACTCCGCCGGAAAATAGCGCTGCAACCACCACCAGGTAAACCGCATGCCCAAAATGCGAGCAACCCCATAACCCTCCCGCCTCCCAACCCACACACAAAACACATTATCCGCAACCAAAAGACACAACGTATTGCGCACCCCTCCACGAACTACTCGGAAAAGACAAAAACAAAAACCGCAAAACATCCCCCCTACATTCCGGTCCACAAAACACCTCCAGGACATCCCGAAACCAGTAGTAAAAGTGTTATTATATTATTGTACCCGGATGGATGCTCGCTTATTGTACCCGGATGGATGCTCGCTTGACTGTTTTGTTGTTGTCAGATCAGCTGTGTCGTGCCTGTGTACAGGTTAGTAGAATGTTAACTCCTTGTTTAATTTATATTTGTTCTAGCGTTAGTCATGTGCAGTTTGCTTATTATTATATATAGTTTAAGCACTGTTAGTCTTTATAAGTATAGTATATTATATGGCTTGTGTTATTGCAGGATGTATCTGTACTGTAATTATTTGTTCAATAAAGTCACATGTCTGGCAATGCTTCTCCTTTACCTCAATTTATTGATCAAATAAATACAGCCAGTGAACATGGAGCGGTTACTACGGCCCGAGCGGTTTGTTACTGACCCAAACGCCACCAACGCCGCTCAGGAATGGCGTCACTGGCTCAAGACGTTCCAAAACTTCACTCTAGCAGTAGAAGAAAATACTCCCACCGTGGACAAGCTGCGTCTCTTAATAAACTACGTTGCTCCACGTGTGTTCGACTACATAGCTGACTGCACTACGTATGATGCGGCTGAAAAATCCCTAACAGAACTGTTTGTGAAGCCCAAGAATGAAGTATTCGCAAGGTATGTGCTTGCAACACGACGCCAAGAACCCGGTGAGTCGCTTGACCAGTTTCTTCAGGCATTAAAGTTATTAGCTAAAGATTGCCAGTTCAAAGCAGTGACTGCTGTAGAAGCTTGTGATAACTATGTGAGAGATGCTTTCATTAATGGGCTAGGTTCTGCCACAATAAGGCAGCGCTTACTTGAAAATAAAACTTTAGACTTACAGTCAGCCTTTGACCAGGCTCACACTCTAGAAACGGCACAGAAACTTTCTGCCTCTTATGCTCAGCCAGGGGCTACAAACGCTGCCATGGCACTCTCATTAGACCTGGAGGACTCAGGAGGACAAGAAAGTGTAGAAGAAAAAGTTGACACAGTTTCTGCAGCTACAACTAGTGGTTTAAAGTGCTTCTTTTGTGGTTACACTCGACATCCTCGCAGTCGATGTCCAGCTAGAGAGGCTCTGTGTATGAATTGCAAGAAAAAGGGTCATTATGCTAAGGTCTGCCGATCTCTGAAACAGACTAACAGTGCTTCAAACACCCAACATTCCGCTGCTATGCTCGCTACTTTAGCTGGGACTTCGCCCTCATGCCTCAATAAATCAGTCCTTAGCTCTAAGATCAATGGTATTCCAGTCAGTGCACTGATTGACACTGGTAGCTCTGAGAACTTTATTCATAAGAATATTGCCGAGCAGAGTGGGTTACTCGTCTATCCTGACAATGGGGCAGTTTCTATGGCTACTGTATCGTTCTCTTCAAAATTCCTGGGTCAGTGTTCTGTAGACTTAGAATTGCAAGGAGAAACTTACCATGGTGTGAATCTCAAAGTGTTACCCGATTTGTGTGCTGATGTGATTTTAGGCCATAACTTTTTACAAAATCATTCTGTGCTCGAGATGGCTTTTGGAGGAGATAGACCTCCCCTTAGAATATGTGGATTAGCTGCCGTCAAAGTTCCGGCTCCATCTCTCTTCAGTAATTTAGCACCAGACTGCAAGCCGATTGCTGTAAAATCCAGACGCTATTCTGAGGCTGACAAGTTGTTTATTGAATCTGAGACCGCTCGGATGCTACGTGAAGAGATAATTAGACCCAGTCATTCTCCATGGAGAGCCCAGGTATTAGTAACTAAAGGAGAACATCACAAGAAAAGAATGGTTGTAGATTATTCACAAACAATCAATCGATTCACGGGGCTGGATGCCTACCCCTTACCACATATAGATGAGATTGTGAATAATGTTGCTAGATTTAAAGTATACAGCACGCTAGACTTGAGAAGTGCTTACCATCAAGTGGGTTTAACAGAGGAAGAAAAACCCTATACAGCCTTTGAAGCTTGTGGGAAGCTTTTTGAATTTAATCGTATCCCTTTTGGGGTCACTAATGGAGTGGCCAGTTTTCAAAGAGTAATTGATGGCATCCTTGAGAAAGAAGGAGTGGAGGGCACCTTCGCTTATGTAGATGATGTCTGTGTGTGTGGAGATTCTGAGGAAGACCATGATAAAAATCTGAAACATTTTATGGACGTTGCAAGAAGGTATAACCTGACCCTGAATCTTGAAAAGTGTAGTTTTCGACTCCGGTCTATAAAGCTGTTGGGATATCTTATACAAGAAGGAGAAATTAGACCTGACCCGGAACGCCTCGAGCCACTGTTAAAACTTCCACTACCAAGCAACACAGGTTCTTTACGCAGAACAATGGGAATGCTTGCACATTACTCCCGTTGGGTGCTGGGTTTTTCTGAGAAGATCCGTCCTCTCTCTCATGCCAATGATTTTCCCTTATCTGCTGCCGCTGCAAAAGCTTTTGAAGGATTGAAACAAGACATTGCTGAGGCAGTGGTTCGAGCAATCGACCCAACAGCTCCTTTCGCTGTGGAAACCGATGCTTCAGATCATGCTATTGCCGCTACCCTAACCCAGAATGAACAACCAGTAGCTTTCTTCTCCCGAACACTTTCAAATAGTGAACAAAGGCACTCATCAGTGGAGAAGGAAGCTTATGCCATTGTGGAAGCCCTAAGGAAGTGGCGACACTATCTCATTGGACGCCATTTTCGGCTTGTGACTGACCAGCGCAGTGTTGCTTTTATGTTTAACTCTAAATCAGCTGGTAAGATTAAAAATGATAAAATTGCTAGATGGCGAGTCGAACTCTCCTGTTACCACTATGACATTGTATATCGCCCAGGTAAAAAGAACATACCAGCTGATGCATTCTCACGTGTATGTGGTGCCACCAGTGTGGATGAATTAAAGGAATTGCATGACAATCTGTGTCACCCTGGAGTGTCTCGTATGGCTCATTTTGTCCGATGTCGAAATCTGCCTTATTCTGTGGAAGAAGTGAAGAAGATGACTAATTCTTGCTCTGCATGCTCTGAACTTAAACCTCGGTTTTGCAAGTTTGACTCTGGGCATTTGATTAAAGCTACTCAGCCATTTGAAAGACTCAACATAGATTTTAAAGGACCACTTCCATCACATTCAAGGAATAAATATATCCTTACTGTTGTAGATGAATTCTCTAGATTCCCTTTTGCATTCCCTTGTTCAGATATGACTACTGGTACAGTAATTCAGTGCCTGGTGCAGTTGTTTGCAATCTTTGGTATGCCTGCATATATACACTCTGATAGGGGAACTTCCTTTATGTCTGAGGAGTTGAAAGATTTTTTACTTAGAAAAGGGGTAGCAACTAGCCGTACGACTCCTTACAACCCTTGAGGAAATGGCCAGGCTGAGAAGTATAATGGGATTATTTGGAAGACAGTGCTGCTAGCTCTTAGAACGTGAGGCTGAGATGTATCCCAATGGGAAGTTGTTCTTCCTGATGCACTCCACTCTATTCGATCACTGTTGTGTACCTCCACAAATTGTACACCACATGAACGATTCTTCCGGCATACAAGAAGGTCTACTTTAGGGCGAACGCTACCTACGTGGCTTGCTTGCAGAGGCCTAGTCCTCCTAAAACGTCTGGTGCGGCAAAGCAAAAATGATCCTCTAGTTGATGAGGTTGAGGTCGTAGACGTGAATCCGGAATATTCCGATGTCAAGTTCCCGGATGGCAGGATTACTACTGTATCATTAAGACACCTCGCACCCATGGCCACAGAGGGCTGCGAGAGTTTGGACTCCAATCTCAACATTCAACAGCAACACCCAGCGATTGTGAAAGCTGGGGTAAACCCCAACCCGCCTCATCCTGAACTACCTCATCCCGAACTACTTCATCCCGAAACCTACTGAGACATCTAACCTAGAAACACCTAATTGGGAACCTTTCTCTGACGTAACACTCCCTCGAGAAGGTGGTATGCAGGAACCGACTGGAACACTAGAGGCTTCAACTTTGCAGGAGTCCCTTCGACGATCTGGAAGGATGCGCAGTACCCCTATCTTCATCTTCGGGACTATGTTACTTAAAGCTAGATGGGGTGAATGTAGTAAAATGTGTTATTATATTATTGTACCCGGATGGATGCTCGCTTGACTGTTTTGTTTGGATGCTCGCTTGACTGTTTTGTTGTTGTCAGATCAGCTGTGTCGTGCCTGTGTACAGGTTAGTTAATGTTAACTCCTAGTTTAATTTCTATTTGTTCTAGCGTTAGTCATGTGCAGTTTGCTTATTATTATATATATCTTAAGTACTGTTAGTCTTTATAAGTATTGTATATTATATGGCTTGTGTTATTGCAGGATGTAACTGTACTGTAATTATTTGTTCAATAAAGCCACATGTCTGGCAATGCTTACGATTGATGACGGCTCCTGTGGCGGACTCAAACTGCAAGAGAACGTCTTGGACAGCACCGACAGACCCCACCGAAGCCACAAACAAAGCGGTATCGTCAGCATACCCACAAATGGGCAGCCGAAGACTGGAAGGCGAAAGAGGAGGCACAGTCAAAGCACAAGCCTTGACCGCCCGAAAGAGAGGTTCCTGAAAAATCACATACAAGAGCATAGACATGGGGCAACCCTGGGGCAATTTTGGTGCACAGAACGGCGAATAGAAAAAGTGGATCTAAAAAATCCATTCACACAAATGCGACTGCAACACCGGGCACACAACATGCGCACCCAATCCACGAACACTGATGGAAACTCAAGCCATTTCATCGCATGAAACACAAACACCAACGACATCCGATCAAGGCCTTCGACCAGTCAAGGCTGACCTTCGCCACCGAAAGGAGATATTCGGACGCGTACAGAAGCACATCCCAAAATATAGAATTGCAATGCATAAGGGAACGACCAGGAACACCACAAAACTGCTCAACAGAAACCACCGACACAGCAATACTACAACAGCGATGCGCTAAAACCTTGGACAGAATTTTATAATCAACATTCAATAAAGTGATAGGCCGCCAATTTGAGAAGAACTGCAAATTGCCCGGCTTCGAGAGCAGCCTCACGATCCTGTCATAATGGGAGTCAGGCAGAACACGCTCCCGAAGACAAGCCTGCACCACCTCCAAGAGGACCTCCCCCAGCACATCCCAAAAGGTAATAGAGAACTCAACAGGAAGGCCATCCGCACCAGGCACCTTCCCGGAACAAAACGACCGGACCACATCCAGGAGCTCCCCCAACGAAACATCCTGCACCAACCGGGCACAGTCTGCTACTGACAGCCCAGGGAGGCACCCATCCAAAAAAGAATCCGCGAGCACACCATCTCCCTGCACCGCCTCATAGAGCGCCTCCAATTCCTGCCACACATAAAGCAGAATCCCATCCGTGCTAGAAAGTACAGAACCATCAGGCTGCCGAAGGCCTTAAGAAGAACAGAAGCCCTAGCAGCCTTCTCCCGACAAAAAAGGGTGAGAGCCATTCCCCATCCACACGCTCAGCCATACAAGCACGCATCCGAACACCGTCAGCCGTCTAAACACTTAAAGCACAAATATGCTCCTTACACTCAGAAATATTCAAAAAGCAGTCAACCCCAGCATTCAACCGCACATACAAACTAGACAGTTGTGCCTGAAGCAACATCAGCAGCCCAAACCTCCCAGCCGCCTCCCGCTTAGCAACAACGCCAAAGAACTTCTGACACTCCACCTTACACCACTTCCACCAAACGAAGAGAGAAGAAAAGGCAGCCCTCCAGACAAGGTTCCCAACCCACCAGACCCGAAACTGCGCACAAATATGCGGACAACACAACAACTGACAATTAAGTCTCCACCACTGCGGACCCACACAAATCTGACTCCGGACACCAACCCAGACAACTATCAAGCAATGATCCGAGAAAGCCACAGGGACAGTACGAAAGTCACACACAGAACACTCCCGACTAGAAACATAGAACCTATCCAACCCAGAACATTCCCCACGCGTAGTAAAGGTATACTCTAACGCACCGCCACACAAAATGGCAGCATCGCGAAATCCGCAAGAATGCAAAACCTCAAGCAAAGCGGCCGAAACATTCTGCGGGTGGGCACTAGAGCTATCACGCACATTCGTGACACAATTAAAATCACCACCAAAGATCAAATCCCTCATATTATGCCGCAGGAAGGGCAAAAGCCCCTCCTGTAAAAACATCTCCCAGTCCCAACTATGCGCCACCCCAAAAGGGGGCGTACACTGTCAAGAACGGAATCACAACCCCAAAATACTCCGCCTGCACAATCAAGACCCACCCATCCTCATCCTTTTCGTGTGAAGCACGGAAATAGATGCCCTCCGCGAAAATAACATGAGCCTCCCCCCAAAGGATGTCCTCAGCGGGTTCAACACATGATAATCAGCACACAACCCCTGCAGAAGAGACACATCCTGAACATTGTGCTCCTGGAATAGCGCCACATCCACACGCTGCTCCCGAAGTACATCCACTAGGCCCAACTGAACCGCAAGAGCATTCAGACCACGCACATTTAAAGAAGCACAAACAAGAGTAGGCGCCATCGAAAACCCATCAAGAACCCCCCCAACCTACAGGCCCACCAGGGGGCCCACCAGGGGGCCCACCGGAACCCACCACAGGGGTGGCGTCTGCAATGTGAGGGCCAACCGCCCGCCACTCCACAAAGGGGAAATCCACATGAACTGCGGACCACGGACACTTCAGGAGGCGAACAGTGCCGGCATCATCCGCCGAAGAATACGGAGACCCTGCCGCCACCGCCCAGGTACCACCCACGCCCACCGTTGCCGAGGAAAGCACGCCATCACAAGGCTCTACATCACCACCGGAATCCTCAGCAGACACGGGAGAATTAGGAGGAGGGGGCACTATTTGAGGCCATACCACGTGAATAGCACCACACAACAACAAAAATATGTTGTGAGAACTCATGACCTACTCGTTAGATTCGCTCCAGCAATTTGCGAAAGTCTGCGTTTTTGAGGTCTTTGCGTTTGCTTGCGTCTAGTCATTTTCTCTATGGTCTCTAGAGCGGGGAATGAATTGCTTACTACACTTAGCGTGTTAATTAAGCAGGTTAATTAAGCAGGCCTCAGGAGGCCTATCTAGATTTTCAGTTTAAAGTTGATGGAAGTACTAAGAGAGATTATGATGAAAAATCTCACATTTGGCGCCCAACGTGTTGCTATGCAACTTTAGTTCAAATTCAGAAATTTCAGACTCAACAAGTAGAGTAACCTATGTAAGGTCTGTGTGCAGAACATTGTAGAACAGTATTGTTGTGGTTGTGATTTGTTATCGGTTGTCACAATTAAGTATACACACACACAGCACACACACAGAATGGATGAGAATTACAAGATGAGATGGTTAGCACTATACGTGGGTATCTATGGCCTGCAGCCAGAAGATAGAGCCACTCTCACAGACGAGGAGTGCCGGCAGTACATGGAAAAACAAAAGGCCAGGGTGCAACGGATGTTCAGGCGCCACCTGAGGTGCATAACACTAGCTTTCATGCAGATGATGAAGCAAACGAAAGTGACATAGGGGACGAGGAGGTTCCCCTAGCCGACATTAACATTGTCAGAATGCCAAGAGGTGTGGAAGTGAGTCCACCCCAGGAACAGGATGGGGAGTCGCGACCCCAGCCTAGGCTAAGGACTGAATCCTTCAGCAAAGGAAACGTTTCGTCTGACGTAAATCAGATACCGGAAAAACCTCCCAGGAGGGGGCTGAACAACCCTAGGAGAAAATTACTCTAGAGTACCTAGCTCAAGCTGATGCTTTGGACCTTCAATGAGAGAGTATGGCCAGATTTGGGGTAGACATGTGGAATGCCCACCACGACAGATTGGCTGAGTTGGAGATTGCAAAGTTGCAATTCCGGGCAAGGATGGGGAATCAAACCCCTCCTGCTGTGCCTAGCTCAGTAGTACAGGCGCTGTCAGTAAAGATGCCTCCTTTATCGCCAAATGAGGAGAAGGTCGATCCTAGGGATGCATACCTAGATCGATGTGAGACGAAGGTTAAACAGACAGTGGGCAGAGGCCCACCAGTCGATTGAGGGTAGTTCGACAGAGGGAAAACAGTTTACTCAAGCTCCAGGTGGTGGAGCGAGACCTGAAGAAAGAAAGTCTAAGGGAAGCCTACAGAAGCTCAAGGGTCAGAGACCTCGGTGCTTCACATGCAACACGACAGGTCACCGAGCACTAAGCCTAAGTCTAAGAATAAGGTGACCAGGGTACAGGTTGCAGGTATGTGTACCGTGGAAGACGGGAATGCCCTAAGACACACTCGAGATAACTAAGGGACTAGTTAATGGGAAATGGAC